CATATTGATCAGCAGCCACTATGCAAACTGGTCCTTCTGTAATAATCAAAAACATACTGCCTTGTTTTATTTTACTGGGATCATTTTATCCCAGGCATATATTTTCCTTGCAGCATAACAAAGCTGTCTTGCTGTAAGACTCCATTGTATTTTATGGATTCAGTTTCATTTTGGTTCTAAAAAGTTACAAGGATAAAGGTTGTGAGGTATTCTGAAGGAGCATTGACTCAAAATAATAGTACTGATTTCTTAAATGAATAGAATCTCCCTCCCATTTTGCACATAGTTCATCCTTCAGAAGGTTATCAGAACAAACAGAAATATATTCAGACAAGCTTTTTTCTCTGGCATGAGCCTAATGCTACAAAGCCAGACCTCACAAAACATGCCACCACAGCTCTTTAGAGTCTAAAGAGTTTAGACCTTTTTTTTTTTTGTATCATAGAGGAACTGCCCTCGAAACTCAATAAACCACACAGTGAACAACAATTTGGTTGAAAACAAGAGGCAGAAGTGACATCAGTATCCTAACCTTTTTTTTCAGGTTAACCACATCAAACATCGTTAGCAGAGTCATTACAAGGGCAGGAAAAACCCCAGCAGGTAACACCACTTCCTTTCTTGCATTTTGCTATTTCATTTTAAAGAGACTTCAACAGGCAGTTCAGCATGATTTAATTCCCCCTCCTTCCCACCTCATTAATCTGCATGATTCATCCTTCCTGATGACAGCATGTGAGTGAATCGTTTGTGACCTGAAAAGTATGATGAGCAATGGTGAATACATGTTGACAGCCAGGTTCAAAGGGCTATTCACCAGAATGGTCTTCCCCAACTTGGTACCTCCTCCCCACCATTACAGTCCACTGAGTTGGTTGGCTATAATACATTTAAATAATAAATAAATAAATGCACGTTGAGAATTTTGGAAGAACTGGTTGGTTAGTTTGGGCAAGACTGTACCAGAAGCAACATTAGTGCTGATGAAGACAAATGCCAAGCAACTACAGAATCAGGTGGCATCCAACACTGTAAAGATAAGACAGTCTAAGGACATCTAATCCCTTTCATTAAAGAAATCAGATGAAATGCAATACGGTATTTAGAAAGCTGGGACAGGGGGCTTTATATCGGTTACTGTCTTCCAACTTGGGGGACACTTCTTGGGAAATCCAACAACAACAAATAGCAAGCCTCAGAGGAAGACTGCAGGGGTTACAAATACAGCATCTGGATATAAGCAATTCTATAACAACTTAATGGAAATGCGGTTTCATAATTCTTTTACTAAAATGTGAAAAATGCAGAGTTTGGTGACTTCTTGGCATGTTCTTTGTAAAAGTACAAATAAAGGTTAGCAACAACATGAACACAAACCCAATATGTTATTACTGGTTATAAATATTTGAGCCACTGATGTAAGCTTGTGAAATCTATAGTTCTTTACTAGAGAATTTCTTTTAAGCAAGTTTGGTTTTTTCCTATAACAGTAGAATATTGTTAATGCATTGTAGCTTAATTACCATTTTCCTGCCTGTTAATTTGTCTAGCTATATACCTGAAATTTTAGTTTTCTTTCTAAGTAGCCAGGTATGGGGGATGCGGTGGCGCAGCGGCTTAATGACGCTGAAAGTTGCTGGCCAGAAATGGTCT